GCGGGTGTGCGGCTCGAGCGTGATTGTTTGGCGCTCGAGCGGGTAGTACATGTCTTGGTGAGGGTTCTGGGAAAGGAGATTTGTGCTCGAGCGGACTGGTTTTCCCGGTCGAGCGGGCTTTGTTACTTTATTCCTGTGTCTTGGCGCTTTGAGCGGGGCCTTATTGAGCTAGGCGTGTCCAGATTTTTTGTCTTTGCGCTCGAGCGTTGTGTTCTCCGCTCAAGCGGGTCATACGTATATGAGTTATCTGCTGGGTTGATTTTAAATCACTTTTTGCTTTTTCTTTCTATCTTCCTACTTTTTCTAAAACCCATTTTTGAGAGCCTTCTCTCTCTAAGGAAACTCCCTTCTCTCTAGGGTTTGATCTAGTTAGAGTGTCCTTCATTCTCTCGGCCTTTGTAAAAGTTGTGTGGATCGTCGAGGGCGTCGTTTTGACCGAGAATCTTTGTCTTTGGAGCATTTTTGGTTTTGGCTTCTTCTCCATCCGAGCTCTAACTTCAAAGGTAGGGATAACCAAACTCCTTACTATGAGCTTTGTCTTAAATTTTAGTATTTTGAGATGTTGGGGTTGGTTTGGTAATTTTGTGGAAAGTTTGGGGCTTGTGTGTAAATTTACAAAAGTTGGGGTTTTCATTTATATAAAACCAAATGCATGTTTGGCATGGGAAAGTGGAATTAGTGTTGAAGCATTGATGAAAAGGAACCTAAAGGGTTGTAATGTTAATTATGGAAAATGCCCTAATTACATTTGGATAATTAATTTGCATAATGTTATGAGAAATGAGGAATTGATTGGGAAAGATATGGGATTAAGGTGTAGTTGGATTACTTATCGCTCACCTAGTTGAAATGTTGATTTATATCCATTATTGCATTTATTTTCTGTATAGAAATAACTGCTTTGGGCTACTGGTGGAGGATAGTCTTGATTGTGGTAGACAATGCATGATGATTAGGCAAACTGAAACTAATCACTGGAATGTGTCATTGAGTATGACGGTTGAAAGAATACATTAAATTTATGTGTTGTGTGATGATTGTGTATTATTATTGTTTATATGCATTGTGATTGTGTTGGAGGAGATAGGGGATGTACTCCACGGTTTAGGGAAGATAGGGGATGGACCTCTAAACCGGATGTGTGGGAGGAGATAGGGGATGCACTCCATAGATAGAGCTCCATATGCTTATCTATTAATTGTTGACAGAGCTCATATGCTTGTCATTGGAAGTGTGATAGTGCTCATATGCATATCTGTGGAAGTGATGATATAGCTTGTATGCTTATCTATTGTGAAGTGGGAAAATGTTTAATATGAGTTACTGTCTCATATGAGTTGTTTGGCCAGGTTCTGAGCCATGGTTATAAGTTGAGAATGTGAAAGGAATTGGAAAATGAATTGTAATATGAACTTGTATGTTATGAAACTGTAAAGTGTGACAAGGGAAAGTATCAGTGTTTGCCATCAATCAACTGCTAATCTTTTAGTCGTTGTTCATATTTGGTTTAGTATATTTCTACTGGGCTGTGGCTCACCATATGTGGGAATATCATTTTCAGGTACAGGTAGCATGCCACCTCCAAGGACGTAGCTTGGGAGGCCAGAGGCGAGCGGACTTTTGTTGTTTTATTTCTTTGATGTATTACATGTATATTCAAGCCAAGGGCTTAATGTGTAAATGAGTTAGTACTCTTTTGTTGTAACCAAGTGTTAACTTGGAAAGCTGTAAACCTATAGGGCATTTGCTTTTGTTGTTAACATGTAATACTTTTGATAATGGAACTCTGATGAATAGGAGAATGTGGAGCTTTTATATATCAATGCATGTCTATATTGATGGGTTTAATGTTGTTATTTTGAGGGCGTTACATTTTCTCATTTTGAAATTCTCATGTCATGCACTAGTTAAAAAACATAACTAATTCAATCATCCGTTTGACAGAACAAGGAGCGGTAAATACAACACTGGAAATCCTTAAGCTGATGTCTGCAAGTAAGCATAACTAGCACTACCAATCTCCACTTTACCGGCTCCTAACTAGAAGGGACGTGGCACCTACTCCGTGCGTGCTTTCGGTCTTTCATCTTGGACACTCAAGCCAACTTAAACAATACCAATTTGCACCCCCTATCTGGATTTACCAAACATATTTATCTCATAACTCAACACATTTCAAATATTCTCAAAGAATCAATTTGAAAATTAATTTCTCAAATCCAATGTAGGAATTAAATCATGAGATTATGCAACATTCAATGTCATGCATGAATTTGCAAATATTTCAACTTACCTATTTCAAATTCAATTTCTACAATAATCAATACAACCCTCCACGGTTGCCCAAACAATTATCTCTATAGAAAATATAAATTTTAAGAGACAAATATGACTCATCGTCTCATATTTTCAGTCATTTCAACATAAGAGTAACAATCACATGTTCAATCTCCTATTTTCCAACTCAATCAAGAATTATAATATTCTTCCAAAAATTTCATCAATTTTCCCTTTTATTCAAACTCAAGAATTTACTAAGAATTTTCATAATGCAAAAAAATTAACATAAGTTTCTTTCAACATTTTTCAATACCACAGCATGATAAATATTTTTCATCTTTCTCAAGAGTTTAATATTTTTAAATTAAATAATTTCTAAAAGGAATCTCAATAGTTTCCAATATTCTCAACAACATTCTCATCAATTTCACTTCTTTTCAATATCCACTTTCGCATTCTCATCCGCTCAATAAACACATACTTTCAACACTTATAAATTTCTTCAAAGTTTAGCCAAACATCTAAATTTTTAACATTTCAAGTTCCTAGGGTTTTATCAAAATTTGGGGATTTCTCATTTTAAAAATAAAATTTTCAAATTCTTGGATCCCACAACAACCACATTTAACAAGTCGAAAACTTTAAAAAATATATTTGAGAATCTTCCCCTTTTTTTACATTAAATATATTTTTACTAAAAACCCTAATCTCTTATCAAAATAACACATAATAAAACTAAAACACATATACAATATTTAAAAAATTCCTACCTCAAAAGCTAGAAGAGGAAATAAGCAAAAATCTCAATTTTCGACTTTATTGAATTTCAATCTCCACCAATTAAAACGAAATCTTTAAAGTGTTCTTCAATTTGACCTTAAGAGCTTTGGACAAAAAGAAACAAATAAAAGCAAGGGAAGGGGCAGCTCCCCGCAAAAGTTTGGTATATATTTTTTTTTTTTTTTTTTTTTTTTTCTTTTTTTTTTTCAAATCAATACATATATCTATTTGTATATATATATATATATATATATCAATTAATAATATACTTTAACATCATTATAATATTTTGTAATATAAATGACAAAAATGATATAATATTTTCTCACTACAAAATAAATTTCGTTTGATAGTGCACACCATAAATATTTGTAACTCTCTCGAGATTATAAAATAAATAATAATAATAACAACAACAATAATATATTGTTACAAACAAACCATGATTCAATCAATTGGGTCCAAAATAAATGGAGTTTAATAATTTAAAATAAATCTCCAACTCAGATTAAAGTATAAATAAATTTTAAAAGACTTAAGATAGTCCCCACCATTCACGTAATTAAATATGAACCAAAATGCTTAAGTGTGTGCTAATCAATTAAGTCCCAAAAACTGAAATTATATCTCATTTAATACTCAAGACCCAAGAATAAAAACTTAAAAAATTTGCCAATTAGGCCTTACGAAGTCGAAATCAACAAGTAATATAATTTGTTTTTACCAATTTAAATAGAATGGTTCACGACGCCACAATAATAATAATACAGGCAAAAATTCAATTTGATTCAACTCGTTACATGTAAACTGTTATTATACAATTTTAACTCCAACTCATTATTTTTAAGGCTTAGTATTTTTTAACTTCTTTTTGTATGTTTTTTTTTTTTGTTAATTTAGGAATTAAAAAGTATTTATTAAATAGATTGATTGGATATGTTTGAAATGATGAATAAATAACTAATTCAATATTTTTATACAAATGAGTGATTATACTAAAAAGTGACCCAAATTTAAAAGGTTCTATGCGAGTTAAATTATACCAAACCGAACCATTTCAATCAGTTCAGTTCAGTTCGATACGGTTTCATAAGAGAAGCGATTGATATAGGTACTTAAAATAATAAAACCGACATTATCGATTTAGCGGCAAATTTTACTTAAATATTGACCATATTGAACCAATTATATCCCTACGTACAACAATTGAATTTATACCATTATCTTTCATAATAAAAAAAAAATAGCTCATAAATTTATCCATTTTCATATTTATTTTCTTTTCCATCCACAAAATTTTCCTCCAAATTTTTATTCAAACTCAATTTTGCGAACTAGCGGACAAAGGAGAACGCTATACTATATCCACTTGAATGTTGCATCAGTGTTCAGTGGCAATAACTTGTGATTAAATTAAAAAGAAAGTATTTAATAACAAACTAATTTTTTTTTTTAATTTATATAGCAATTAAAACTCCTAAATAATAATTGAAAAACGATATATGTTAGGGGATGACTTTCGTTGCTCTTTTTTTTTTCTTTTTTTTTTTTTTTTCCTTTCTAAAATAGAGTAGATTCACACTACAAAAATATGTTTGCATGTAGAACTCATTATATTAAAATTAATAATGCATTTTATTATTTTTTAGATATGAAATATTTTTCATACACATAATATTTATTATGTAGATAAATATAATAGGCTAAAAAATGGTAAATTCATCTCCCTATCGTCTCTTATACTTTTGTGATTAATGATGTGTAATATATATTATATAATATATATATATATATATATATATAAATTACATACAAATAATGTAGTAGAATTGAGGTCTAATACATTAAAACAAAATATCTTTTGTTACAAATATAATATTGATTTTGTAAAAATATAATTTATTTTTTCATTTTCATTTATTAACTTTAATGTCCAGATCATGATACTTGCGGGTACATATACATCATCAGTGACAACAGAATGGGCAATGTCCCTTCTAGTCAACCACCCAGAGGTATTGAAGAAGGCAAGAGCCGAGATAGACGCTCACGTAGACCAAGATTGCTTGATTGATGAACCTGATATTTCAAAGCTACATTACCTTCAAGCTATTATCTCTGAGACTTTCCGATTGTTTCCAGCAGTACCGTTATTGTTACCACATGTATCATCAGATGATTGCACTATAGGGGGATTCAACGTGCCACATGGCACAATATTGTTGGTTAATGCATGGGCCATTCACCGAGATGCTAAGGTTTGGAATGATCCTACAAGCTTTAAGCCTGAGAGGTTCGCAAGTGGAGAAGTAGAAGGAAACAAGTTGATGCCATTTGGAATGGGAAGGAGGACTTGTCCCGGGGTTGGTCTGGCACAACGTGTTGTGGGTTTGGCTTTGGGGTCATTGATTCAGTGCTTTGAATGGGAGAGGGTCACTGAGAAGGTAGTTGATCTAACGGAAGGAATAGGGCTTACTATGTTCAAAGTTGAGTCATTGGAAGCCACGTGCAAAGCACGCGACATAATCATGAACAACGTTCTCTCTTAAGCCGCAAACAATGCTTGAGCATTTTTGTGAAAATTATGTGCATATGTTCCCATGTGTCATGGTACCGTACTTGGTACATTGTGCTATTTTTTATTTTGATTTGTTTTTTTATTTATGATGTTTGTGGTTTGTATTAGTTCAAATATATATTGTAGGTGAGATTGATTTTTCATATAAGTTAAAGAGAATATTATAAATAAATGAGAAATAAATTTTATTATAAATTAGTAGATATATATTTTAAAAATATCCGCCCACATAAAATTGTCAAAATTAATAGGGAGTTTCTCAATACAACTACTTAATTTCCTTTCACAACTAGTTATATAGTAACAGTTGTATATGTAGTTGTTAAAAGAAATTTTGTAAACATATTTTAAACTTCTCAAACTAATGCTAAATATATCGAAATCTTATATTGTTTTACAGAATAAATAAATAAATAATTGCTGTTTTCCTGTTCTCCCCTTTTTTATACCTCTTCCTTCTCTGATTCTCTCTTGTTCAAGGGGGTGGAGTGGTGAGGGAGGAGCTTTATCGGGAGTAATTTATAAATAATATTATGTGATATTTTGAGAATATCTAATAATTTTTAAAAAATTAAAATAGTTAAAAACAAAATAGGTCGGGGAAGTAATTATTTGGAGCAATTGCGAATTAGTGAGTTTAAAAATAATCGCTCTACATATGAAATTTTTTTGAGTGTAAATTTCACACACACACACACACAAAAAAAAAAAAAAAAAAAAAAGTAACATTAAAAACATTTTAATTTTTTGAAAATTAAAATTTTCATTTTTCATTTTTTTTTGTTTTTAGTAAATATTTTTTAAATTTTATTTATTTATTTATTTTTAGATGCACTTTACTTAGATATATCTAAATAGTAAAATATTTTAAAAAATTAATAAATACACAAAAATATACTGATTTTTTTTTTTTGTATTTTTTTGATATTTAGTGTATTTTTTAAAGATTTTTTCACAAATATTATACTTTTTAAGTGTATTTATATTAGGGGTGTTTAAAAAGTAAAAAAATTACTTAAAATATTAAAAAAATTCAATAAAAATAAAAAAATACGAAAAATAAGAAAATAAA